CAAAAGGCAAATGTTTTCCCACCTTTCCTTTATGTCACTGTATGAAGGACATGACTTTCGTCTAGTGAAATGCCTTACCCCGTGTCTCCCATTATGCATCCAGACCACGTGTCCTCACACTTACACTCACCTGACAACAACAACAACAAAAAAAATTACATCTTGAGTCTTGTGCATCCAAAATAATACATTTCTTATCACAAAAACCACACTGTAGTCAATTCCATTTCATATTTAAATACAAATTTAAAAGAATAATTTGCTGGTTTATTGCACACCTTAGTTTAAGTGTATCAATGCACGCTGACAAACCTTCTTTGAAAAACTATACGTGACTCTACGCAGTCCTGAGCTTTGAAAGTATGTCCTGTTTTAATTTCCTTCTCTTAAAGTGAAGTTAGGTGAAACTGCAGTGTCAGCCTCCAGCACTTGCAAATCATGAGTCAGCTCTCCTGCCCTCTCCCGTGTCATGATATTTGACTTCCAAATTTTCAGAGTAGAAAAAAGAAACCATTTTAACCCTTCTAACTTTTTAGTTCTCTTCTACTACTATGCTAATGTGACTGGGGAAATCTTCGCTTGAAAAGAACCCCAAACAACTATGCACACAACAATGCATAAAATGGTCTGTAAACACAAGCCAGTAGAGCAGGATCTAACAGCTTCTTCCTCCGCTCTCCCTCCCTTCCCTGCCTGCCTCCCTTCCCCAGGCAGTTCCCCGGCAGGCAGCGGACAGCCCTCCCTTCTGCCCTGCCAGGCTCCCTGGGATTCCTTTGCTCTGGTCTCAGCCCTCCGCTTTCAAAACCCTGTCTTGTGTCTATTTCTGTACATATGCTTTGCACTTTAATCTTTCTCTTTCTGCAATTTGCCTTACTGTGATACATGAACATCAGTTTATTGCTTCCATTTTAAAACTACAATTAAAAAGGAAACAAGGCTCTGCCCAACAGTTGCGTTCTCCTCCCTCCCCACCAAAACCGTGTCCTGGCCCTCTGCTCAGCCATAAGAAAGGGAATCACCACTATTATAATTTTCACTTCTACCCTGCCCCTTTATCAGGTTAATGATATGCAGCTGGAAAAGTAATACTGAACCTGTCAGTAGCATACAGCATCCGTCCTACATTTCTGAGTATTTTTGAAAATAAAATTACGTAAACTGCAAAAACATTTACATGCAGATGCATCTCTGCATTATACACAGTCTTTGCAATGCCTGAAAACAAAATGCATCTAAGCAGAGTTCTATTACTCAATACAGTAATGTATTTTTTTTATATGTAAGCCACGTAAGTACACATGATCCAATAGCTAAGCACGCCAATTCATCATCTAAATTGTTTCAAAAGTGTATCATTATTTTAACCACCCATTGTTCTCTATGTGCTGCAACTTCATATAACACGGAAGCAGGGAGGGTGAGGTGCTTGTTGGGCGCAGGGCACGGGGCAGAGATCTGAATTAAGGCATTGCAGGTAAATAGGGGTTACTAAGAAGTTGAATACCAAGGTTACAGCAGAGAAATGGTAGCAGTAGGGCAGCAAATACAGGAGATTTGGGTAATCTACAAGAGGAATTCAATCAAGGCAAACAGGGAAAAAGCTATGTTGTCAAAACCATCCTGCATAACAGGATTGAGGTGGCTCCTCGTCATCCCCAGGTCTAATAATGTACATTTCTACCTTAGCGCCGTAAGATGGCAGCCATTCAGTCTGTGGGTGTGACATTGTTCTCCCTGAAAGGAAGTGGCAGACACCTTTATCATTTATTTTTAATGAAATGGTGACACTGATGCTGCCAGCAGTTATGGGCAGTGGGATATCACAGCATTTAAATAGAGGAAAATTAATGACATGTCAGTCTCTCTTCATGTTATTACAAGAAAAATAAAAATATTCCAACACTGTGAGAAACATGGGGGAAAAATACCTATCAGAGAGACACTGATAAGATCCTCCACCTGTTGAGATTTTCTCTTGAGACAGAATGAAAAAGCAAACAAACTTACCACTTATAAGTTTTCTTCTGTCTGAGAAAATGCCAATGTTTTGGGCCAACGTCTGTGCCAGAGTAACTGCCATTAAGTCTGGCTTTCCAAACTGAAAGGTAGGAAAGAGTAATCAGTTACATACAGGTATCTCAAATACACATGAAGCTTTTCTCATGTCAAGGCAATAAAAGGCAAAAACAGATGCCCAGTGTTAGAGTTCTTACTTCAGAGCAACTAGATAATGGGCAAGTGAGGAAAACTGGCTGGCTGACGGACAAGTTAAGTAAGAGAAAGTCTCTCTCTTTCTTGCCATTCTGGCTGCAACTATGAATGACAGGATATTGCAGAATCTGCTGAAAAGTGTATTTGAATCCATACCTGACTTTATTCACTCATCACTCTTCATTGAGACATCCCTTCTATAGAGCTGCACTAAAACTCTGCATCAGCAAGGAAGCAGCAAGATATTTTGAGGAACATGTCCGTGCGGATAAATGCTGTGCAGATAAATTTCCACCACTTTTTGCTCATACCAGTATCCCCACCTACCTCATTCACACCTCCGCCTTTAAGCAAGGAGCAGATTCCACCAGTGTGGGCTACACCACTCCGACTGCTCTGAAATCGACTCCCCCTTTGACAAAAAGGAAAAGGAAAGAAAGTTTACCCTGCTCAGCCCCTGAGTTTTGCACCTATCCATCCCAGTATTTACCCTTCTGATTTTCAAATGAGAAACTGGCATTCACAAATGCTGGCTGCCACCATTATGCTGCAAACTATGCAAGAACAAAATGGGAAAAACAGATAACCACTCACAAACCTCACATGACAAATTAGCTCCACAAAAGTTATACCACCTTCCCGCCTCTTTCTTATCGACTACCTAATACAGGAAAGCATAAGGGGACTATTTTGCCAAACCACCTGAATCTCACCAGCCTTTTGTTCATTGACGTACTACTGCAGCAAGTGACTTCCCCTGGCGTTCCCAGACAGAGCGCAGGAGAGGCCACCGCGCTGCCAACACATGGGTGACTAATAAAAAGACACGTGTCTAGCTGGGCAATGCTCATGTAGCAAAACTCAAAGGGAGGTGTGTCAGTGGCTCCCTGATGCAGAGGTAAGTGAAAACTCCCTGGAACTGCAGCTGATCTCATCCAAGGGGACAGATGCACTCTGAGCCTAAACCTAATCATCTCTTTGGTGCTGACCACGTCAGCATGAATGACTGCCAGTTACTGGAGACCAAATATACTCTGCTCCACTTCAGAGTACTGATTCACCCAAGCTGCGCCAAATTGTTTTTTTTCAAAGGAAAACAGAAAAATATCAAGAAACAATACAATGGGCTAACTGTGCAGAAGGTGGAAGTTCATTTGCCAGTGTACCATCACACCAGCCAGTCTCACCTCCCAACTTACCCATGTCTCACTCACAGACACAATTTAAAAAACTGGTATTTCTAACAGTCTGTGAATGCAATACCTCAAACATGAGTGGTGGTGTTACGGACAGCACTTGAATTGGCATTATGGTGGTATCCAGAGTCCCAGTCACAGGGCAAACAGGGCCCTCTTTGTCCGAGCCAATCCACAAGCATTCATAAAAACAAGAGTTCTCCCAAAGACCTTACAATATCACCAGAGAAGATACACAAAGGATGTGAGAAAACCTGATTCCCGTTTTACAGATAAAGAACTAAGACACAGAGAAACCAAAATTTGCAAGCACAACTTGCAGGTCTTACTAGCTCTCTTCATGGCAGAAGTCAATGACAGTAATTAAGCACGTGCAAAAATTCTGAGAGGGTCGATACTGGGGTTGGGTATCCTGGCACCCTACCAGAGTGATGTGAAAGTGAGGTGTTTAGGTTAAGTTTATTCATATAGGCTCCTACAACAGTCAGCAGAGAGGGATAAGGACTCCACCAGAGCAATTCAGCTGGCCTGTCTTGTGTGGATCGAAAATCTCAGCCATTAACCTCTCCTCTATTTTGTAGATATATTTGTTATATCAATCTTATTTCCAAAACTATTAAGAGATTTAGAGAAAATAACATTCCTCCCAGCTTATTGTTATAGCACAGGTGTCTCTGGAGAACAAACTGTTTCAAGGATCTGAAAGACTTCAGTAACCCTGCAGCATGCAGGTAATTCGACAAAGTAAAGCAGGCCATAGTGCTTTTTAAGCAGGAAACCTCCTTGGTTTCAGAACCAATGTTCTGCTTTTAAATAATACAACAGGGCTGTCCATGCTATACTGCCGAAGAAGCCAACCTCCAAGGTGGAACCATGCATCACTTTCCAGGCAGCTGCGCCTGCGAAGTAGGCAATTGCAGAGAATAACCAAGGATGCATGCGCATGCAGCTTGGGCTTAGTATGTTAGAACTAAAATGAGAGTCCAACCTCAGTTGCACTGGCAGGCAGTTTGTACATTAAATTTTTCCCACCTCCCCATCAGAAACATTATTTTCTGAATTATTGTGGATTACACACCCAACAGAAAGGAGATGCATCAGCCACTTGTGATAAGCAACCCCCAAGGAAAGAAAAAAAAAACAGTAATAAAACATCACATGAGGTTACGTACGAAAAAAGGTGAACTGCGTCACTTTTCTCTCTGATAAAATCCCTCCTATATTTCATAAACTCACGTAGGGTCACCAAGGGGTTTTCAGATATGGTGAACTTGTTATCAGTAGCCCAGGTTTCCATGGCAACCAATACTATCCTGGTGTTAAGTTGTTCTTTATATATCTAGTACATTAACAGAATGAACAAATATATTATGTCAAATAGAATGAAGGTGAGTTTTACCTCGTTTTGGTAATAGCTTGCATTTTTACATAACTAAATATTTAGCTTGCTCTAGCACACTTTAAGTTCTCCCAGGTGATTTTATCTCCCTTAAAACCAGAAAACATGAAAACAAAGTAAACTCTAAATTTTAGGCCTAATTCTTCCATCAGCTCGCTCAGCCTACAAAAAGATCCCTTGAAGGTCCTACACAGGCAGAGGTGCATAGAAGGAAGATGAGATTTTTGAAAAATTACTACAGAACCATTCCAAATAGTTCAAAGATTTGGAATTAACAGGTCGTTTATAACGTCCAGCTCACCCCAGTGACACACAAGGGCTCTCTCATACCAAATAGTGATCTAGAAAACCACAGTTTTCACTGTTACACACTTCTACAGGAGTAGTTAACCTCATGCTGGCTGAATCACAAAAAAAGGGCCATCCTTTCAATACTGGGGGTTAATACACCACACCAAACACTTTCAGGACCTGGAACCGCATTTTTCTTTTTCTAGTAATACTTTTCCAGGGTTAGGTGCAAAAGCCAGCAGTTCATCCAACTTAGTGTCACAAATACAACCCACATAATCCACCTGTATGTCTCTATTCTAACTCACTCAAATGCACTTTTTCTGGAGAAATTTTAGTGCATTCTAATTTCAGATTGTCTTTTGGGTTTCAGGTTGTCAACATAGGGATCCTGTGTTAAAAATTGTCATACCTAAGGTGTTCTTTAAAACTCAGACCCATGGGATTGATCCAGCAGGATACTTAAGTAGTTGAAGCCACAAAAAGTCTCTAATGCTTTTAGACAAAGGCTTTATAGGTGGCTGACTGTGGTTCTAGATGAAAATTTGTCATCTTCGCATATGTTATTATTAGGTATACCATGAACTGACAACTCCCGCATCTATCGGCAGAAGAATCATATGACTCATCTCACACGTAAAAGAACATTTAGTTGAGTGATACTTACTAAATCTGCCATGTTCACAACCGATTTAGCATAGCTGTTTGTATGGCCGACTGACAAGCGGTGCTTTTTATACTGCAAAACAAACATAGACAAATCACATATACAAACTTCAGAAAAATAAGCTCCATTTCCAAAAAAGCGTGAAGTAAAGAGCAACTACATCATCAGTAATACACCTGTGCAAGGTTTGGTGTCCTGCACTGAATGTAATGTTAATACGCAATAGTAGAAAATTGCTCAGAAGTGCACATTACTGATATACTTTAAAACAGCTGTTGTGAGGATCTATTAATGCCTGTTTGGAAAGTACTCTTAAGATCTTTACTGAAAAATGCTATAGGAACAGGAACATATTGTTACTCTTTTCATTATCCTTATCACTGGCAATTTTAAAGTTAATTCCAAATGCCAGTACAGAAATTAGCAACTCAACTTCCATAGTTGAGACTCCTTTAGAGGTGTTACCTCAACAATGCCTGCATCCATGGTTTAATCTATCAGACTTCCTATTTTTTTTTTCAGTTCTCTCTCTTAAGCTGTCTTCTGGATTTCTTCATGTACAATTTCACACTCCATAATGCCACAGGAACTGGATCAAATCACCCTAGCAATCAGACTGCAATGGCACCTTTACTGAAATCTGTAACACAGTGCTATAAAGATGACACTGAAGATAGCTGTCCAGGTACTCCTATTTGCAGAAGAAACCACTTATAAATGAGCACCATGGGTCTGAAAGTCACAAGTGTCTTAGAAGAATTTACAACAAAAGGGCCAAGATTTTCAGAAATGTTTAACCATCTTGTGCCCCATGAGGCTTGATGTTGGAGTGAAAGTTGTCCGTATTTTCTTGACGTTAGGATATTTTAGTGGGCAAGAAGAAGTGTCCAGCAGCTAGGGGGTGGGAAAGGCACGCTTTCAAGG